AGGGTGTTGAGCCTGTTAGTGGCATAGAGGAAGCTTACTGCCAGCAGAGAAATCACTAAAGATGGAAGGAGGAATCTGATGACATCTGAGACCTGCTGAACTTGAAGCTGGTACTACCCTGGACTCCTCATAGAGCAACCAAGCCATTCCATCATGAACTGGCAGTAGGGCATAGTGAGATTTTCTTTGTGCTGTTCCCTAGATTATATGAGATTATATGGTAGAAATGAACACATCAGCATTCCTCTGTGCTCCTCAGAGTGATCTGATTTCAGCGGCTCCACCTTCTGCTCCAGATCACTTTCCACATGTCTGTCCCACCATGACGCCCTGATTCTGGGACTCTGGTTTGGTCAGGCATGCCCATAGGGTTCAGTTCAGTAGCCACCTTCGTCCCTGCTGTGGACCCCTGGTGGGAAGGGCCCCCTTCTCCGTCCTCGGACATCTGAGTCCTCCTGGTCCTCTAAAGATCATCCAGCCCTGGAGCTCTTCACCATTTACTCTCTGCCTCTCCTGACAGTTCTCTGGGGGTAATCCCCACACCCTGGTAGTTTCCAGGAACTGCAAGTACAGGAGCTCCATCGAGGTTCAAGCCCTATAGGATGGGGCATGGGGGAAAGAGGTGGGTGTGTTGGGAGGCTCTGGTAAGCAGGTTGTGAGGGTGATAACCTGTGGCCAAGACCCCTCCCCCAATTCTCTTCATCCCTCACAGGCAGTTTTGCGTTTGGTTTGTACATGACTGATTCATCATATCAAGCCTCCAAACCCAAGACCACCTTCCCAACCTTAATTAGAGGGAGGCTGTGGGTGGAGCCTGCACCCTCCCCCTTAAGCCAGCGCCCAGATCCTCCCAGTGGGACACTTCCTTTGTCCAGAGGCCTCTGCGTTGAAGGTGGGATAGGAAGCAGGGTCTCTGTGGACGTTGGTGGTGACCCCTTCTAGTCAGCCCTTTTTCCCTGAAATGATGGAAGCCCCTTATCCCAGCCTGGGTAGACAGAGGATGTGAGTGCACCCCCAGGCCACAGTGCGCCACCTGCGGCAGGAAGCACAGTCATTTTGCCTTCCCTAAGGGCTCTGGGGGCTCTGCTGGACCTCCCCCTTGGACTATGTGGTTCCAAGGCCCGCCTGGCTGAGGGCGCGCCGGGAGGGGTGCTCGGATCTAACAGGGTAAGGGCAGTGACTCTGCCCCCTGGGCCAACCACTGGGCCCTTCATGCCTTGCTCATTCCGCATTATTAAAGCGGGACTGTGGCCTCCTAGTGGGGCTTATGGCCAGAATTAAACCGAGCTACCAGCCTGTGAAGCAATGGTTCTTAATACAGCCTGGTACAGGCCGGGTGCCCTGACAGCCAAGACAAGCCCGAGGGCAGCAGATGTGGTTTCTTAGGGTGAGGTGGGAGAACTTCTCTCTGGGGCCCCGGGAGACCCATGCACCCACAGCTGGCTTCCCGAGCTCCTCCTTGGGATCTGGAACTCTCAGAGAGTACCTACCCCAGACCAAGGTGGCCTCTTAGGAATTGTATTCACGGTAGCAGTGGCTTAGAGCTCTGGGGAGGAGAGTCAAGTTCCCAGACCCCTCCTGCAACAGCCCCAACAGAGGTGTTCCCAGGGAAGCTGCAGGGAGGTCCCCAATCCCAGTTCACCTCCTTAATCCCCAAGAACACTTTGGGACTATAGCAACAGGCAACTACTGGAGGCCCTGCTTGTTCAGTGACAGTTTATTGGTCCTTAGCATTACATCTCAGTTAACAAGGTAAATTCACATACACAACTGCAAGTAAAAACATGAAAATAATATAAAAATAAATTGAAAGCTACTCTTATATATTTACTGAAGTAGTGTAATAAATACTATAATAAGCAAAAAGCTTCAATCACACAATTGTTTCACTGAAGTTACAGTAGTATTTGTAAATAGTTTTAAAATTTAAGTTACAAATATTAAAGCACTGAAAAACTAGTATAAAAGTCAATTTTGGCACGTAAGTGAGCTCTTCTGTCATTAGTATTTGACAACCTGGGACAATGAGGAAGCCATTTCTCACCTACTTTTTGAGGTACAACTATCCATCTAGGTCAGCAACATGGCTGGAATACTTAATAGCTTATAGTCTTTAACTTTTCCCTTTTGAGAAGCCCGAAGAGCAAACCCAGAGCTTATTACTGTGCAAAAGTTTTCAAAATCCTAATAGAATTTAGGAGGGTACTTTTTGTGACCCACAGGGCCTTGAGTCTAGGCCTCAGGTCAGAGCCCCCAAGACTCTGTGGGGCCAGTGCCGCTCCTTGACAGTGGCCCCTTCATAGGGTGATCCCTTTTCTCCAATATCTGCCTCCTCTTTCCAATCAAAAAAAGAAAAATCCCACATCAAAATGTAAAATAACCTATAACTTCAGCGACTTCAACATTATCACACTCACTCGGGGTGATATAAAACTGAAGCTGCTAATAGGAAAGTTGGCAAAAAGCATTAAGCTCCTGGAGAACTCTGCCTGTCCCTGGGAACCTGATGTCTCTGCTGGATCCCTGGTATCCACTTCTTTTTGAAAGAGAAGTGGTCAAAATTTCAAAATTTTTGAAGGTCAAAATTTCAAACACAGTGTCAAGGCCCTTCCTCAAGAGACAGCCTAAGACACCACACCCCCACCTAGAGTGCCCAGAGGAATCAAGTGGATATTAAACTTCACATTAAAAACCCAGAGGCCCCAAAGGTTCCAGAAAGAGCAGTGTGGGGAGGAAGCATCCTCCCAGTCTCAGTTCTCAAAGAGCTCATGCAGCGTGCCAGCGTGCCTCTTCACCAGGGCACAGCCAGTGTGCCCCAAGGAATGCCCTTTCGCCAGTGTGCCCTTCACACTCCCAAGCAGGCTGAGGAGTGTCTGTGGAAGCCTCAGCCAGTTTTGCCTTTTTGGCTTTGAAACTTAACGTTTGACTTTTTTCAATCACAGTTTCATATTCAAGTTGAGGTAATCACAGTTTCCCCTCTAACAGGAGAGGAATTGGGACAGTGGGGCAAGTTGGTGAGAGAGCATTTCTATGGACAATGGTCAGAAACCAAGACCACCAGGAGGTATAGCCCCACACAGTGTTTAAGACCCACTTTTATGGGTGGGCTTCCGACCCCTCTTTAAAAACTCTTTGTGTAGCAGCCAGGAAATGGCTCAAGCTCCAAGAAAGAGAGCATTCATTTAAATGTTACAGCAATCTACCTGAGGCAGATGGCCTGTTGTCCCCCCACCCCCAACCTCCCCCAACAAGGCTGCTCAAGTTTGAGTTTTTAAAAAGAGCTCGGTAGAGCTAAAGGAAGCTACAGTAACTCATTGCTTATCTCATAAATTGCACTTAAGATCTTGGTTATTGATTCTGAAGCAGAGGAAGGCCTACTGTGGACCCCAGCCTCTGGCCAGCTAGTAGTGAAGGGCTCCTAGACTGGGGCTCCACATGTGGGCCCTTGTCTCCAGCAGCTTTGGAGCTGGGACTGGAGCACATGGGTCTTTTCAGAAGCCTTTCTTCATGCAAGAGTTCTTAACAAATGGTATTTTGAGTACTGTTCATTTGGCTTCAAATGCAAATTTTCTTCCAACATTAAGTACATTTTACTAGCAAGCCTTTAAAAACTGCTTTACTACTTGCATGCAGGCCTCTGTGTGACAGATCACATGTGCTCTGTCGTTTTTCTCTCTCCTCTGTGCCAGGACCCTTTCTCAAAAACCCCTCTACATTACTAAAAACTTTGCTGGTTTTGCCTATGTGCTCCTTTCTAAGGCATGCAAAAAAAAAAAAAATTGTGAAATTCAGAAAGCATTTTTACAATCTAGGCAGCTGAGGCGCTGAAGTCCTAACAGACATCTCATTAGTGACCTCTCTCTTCCCTGTACTAATTCTGGAGGTCAGGCATGGGATACACTTGAAATTCCCCTCTGCTTTTTAGTCCGGCTGGGAAAAAAGCTACTAGGAGGAATTCTAACTTCCATATTGGAAGGCTCTGAAATTCCTGGTTCTCAGAAGCCAAGCTAGTCCAAGGCCAGCAATGATGCTTGGGGACATGAGCTGCCTAAAGGTTGGTCTGAAAACCAGGCTTTCCCTGGCAAGACTGAGGGGAGGTATGGGTGCCGGAGACTGAATGCCCTTCAAGTGAAGATGTCCCATAAGTGATCAGAACCCTGGACCTAAGACTATGCAGTTGAAGGACACTGCCCTTAAGAGTGAGGCAAAACACTGCCAGCAAGGCCTGAGCAGCAGTTTTTCTCATCCCACAATTATTAGGCAAACCAGACTGATGACATGAGCGGAGCTCAAAACCAATCCCAAGGCGGACTGCTTGTGTCAATTCAAAAGCCACACTTTTGGAAAGCAACAAGTCTTTCTCCTCAGTTTAGTCCATAAGGGAAATTCCCTCATTTTAGAAGAAACTGTTGATCTCAGTCCAAGCTGCTGTCTCTGATGGTTGGGATTGGCCAGGGCTTGTGCTGCTTCCTCCAGGACTGGGCACAGGGTCAACAGGGACTGAACCTTCAATGGAAGGGGCCAAACCAGGGAGGCAGGCATTCCACTGGGGAGAAAGGCTCTCCTGGGGCAGTGTCTGAAGCCTGAGGCCTATGGTGGCCTGGCCCCCCCAGCCATGACCACAGTTTGGGCAGCCAGGATTCTTTGTGTATCAATAGCTACTCTGTGCAATCCAAATGCTTCTCCCCACCCTCACACAGTGCTGCGACAGCCCAAAGGAAATACTGTTATCAGAGACCCAGAGGTCCTGCACTGCCAGCTGCAAACCAAGGGAAGCGTCTGTCTGCTCATCCTCCATGAGGACCCCCACCCTCACCCCGCTGCCAAATCAGTGGTGCAGGCGATGCTCTTCAGCGCTGTATAGAGAATAAAGACAACATGCACTCAAGCAGCACACAAAGGCCAAGGAGTACAAAGACAGCCCTCTAGGGAGAGGCCTTTGGAAGAGCTGAAGTAAAGACACCCTGTTTTTAAATGTCCATCTCCAAGATCCTCTTCCTCTAGGGCTTCTGCTCAAAGAGATCGTGATACTCCTGCTGCTCCAGCTCACGGTTATACTTCTCAATTTCCCGGTTGGCTTCCTCCACGTAGTCATTCATAAACTGGTCCATGACTGGCACCTCATTAAGGAAGAAAGTCCTGAGCCTGTGGGCCAAGGGAGCTGCCCAGGCCAGAGGAATCTGTATAGGCTGAGTGACTGCTCAGCCTGGACAGAAGAAAGCTGACTGGCTTTTTTTATATACTGGCAGCACCACAGCTACAAAGAACAGTACAGTGTGACAGAGGCTGACACAGGGCCCTTCATGAGCTCCTAGGAATGAGCCTGTCAGCTTTCACTAGCACACAGCGGCACCCCATCCACCTTTTCCACAGATTAACTATTGTAATCAGACCCAGTCTCCAGCTTGTAAATTATGACTCCCTGATGACCACAGGATGTTACCACAGCTGCATTTAAATTACAACCCACGAGTAACCTCAGCCATCACTGAATGAAGGAGAAATGTAATTTTAATGACTGTAAGAGGACAAAATGAAAAGTCAGCCTCTGTGACTTGCTGTGTATTCCCAAACCCACCCTGCACCAGAGGCTGGGCTGTGATGGCTCTAGCAGACACTCTCTTTACAGCTAGGCTTTCACACCCCCTCAGCCTCTCTGCCTCAGATTCCAAGGATACGTGGGTGAAAATCAGTCTTGTCACCAAAGAAGTTGACAAACTGGGTGCCATTATAAAAGTAGCCTGCAGGTAGGGGGTCCAGGTGGCGTTTCACCTGTAGGAAGAGAGTCCTATTAGAATTAAGCTGACCATTTTCTATAACTCACTCATTCATTAAAAATAAAAACAGAGACTTCCCTGGCAGTCCAGTGGTTAAGACTCTGCGCTGCCACAGTAGGGGGGTACAGGTTCGATCCCTGGTTGAGGAATGAAGATCCCACATGCCACAGGGCAACTAAGCCCACACATCACAACAAGAAGCTTGTGCACCTCAACAAAAAGCCCATGAGACCCAGTGCAGGCGAAAAAAAGATATGCCAGGGAATTAACACCATCACACCATCCCCACAGCAGCCATCAAACAATGAGTGAAGGAGGTTCTCCTACCTCTCAGGGAGGAACTCTGGAATTCCTAATGAGATTAAGCCCCAGATGCCCCCAGTGGTACTGGTTTGACAATACACCTTTCTCTTCTCTCTCTTACTTTCCCACTTTCCTATTGGTAGCTTACAGAATCACTTCCCAAATTAACTACCTTCACTCAAATCCTCGCTTAAGGTCTACATCTGGGGAAACAACACTGCTTGCCTTCTGAGGTACCCTTGGTCTCCTCACCAGGAACATGCAGAGTTGCCCAGCTGTTGGAATTAAGAGGTCTTTCTCAAGTCCACAGCAAGGGCTCCTGGACGTCCAGAGTCCTGCCTGCCTGCCCATCACTGGGACTGGTGACACAGCTCATATAGACACCTGGACTCTCTGGCCCTTTTGGCCTTTGCCCCCAAGCCATCAGGAAAAGGCTTCAGTGTGGATGCAGACTGGGGCAAAGCCTGGAGTCAGAGCGGGTTCCTCAAGGGGCCTTTTGCTGGGCCTCAGGATTCCACAACCTGCCCATGAGCAACTTCAGGATCTAGACAGTTTTTACCTGGGCACTTGCTGGTTTATATCTAGGACAGAGGAAAGGCAGGGGAAAGCTGTTCTGCAGCTGCTTGAACAGGATGATAAAACAGAGCTCCATGTCATCCGTTCCCCCCACAGGCACTGGGTTCTCCTCAATCTCATGACCATATCAACACCAGAGGTCACCTGCCCTTCTCGCTGAGGCTGCAAGGCCAGCTGAGCTGAGGTTTCTCTTTACCCAGCTTCCCTCTGCAGCCTGAGAGAAGCAGGACCTCCAGCATGCCCCAGTAAGAGCCACCTCACTCAGGAACCCTAAAGGACAGGGCTGTGCAGAACCGCCCTGGGACACTGAAGGGACTTAGGCCTCCGAGACGGAATACTCACATGAATGTTCCTGATCTCCTGCTGGGTCAGCATCCCCCTGGTCTTCAGGGCTTTCCTCTGAGGCTTCTGTGCAGAGAAGTAACGGGGGTTAGGTCCCAACAGAGCTGATGGAGTACATGGAAGGGTTAAGGTCAGAGCTCTGGGGCTGGTTACATGACTGAGATGCCAGCAGAGGGGGAAGCACAAGTGCCGTCATGGCCTGGATGTAATACCCTGCCTGTCTGCCCCTGGAGAGCATCACTTTCCCCCCAGAGTCCTACATGCCAGGGGGGAACAACTGGCAGAACCAGACTGATGCTTTTGTAAATAGGTATGTTTCTGCCTCTTTGAAGATTCTCAATCCTAAATCCCACCAGTGACAGACATGTAGACAAAAGGACTGGAGGTCTTATAGTCCAATACCATTTAAGAGTTTTTCCCAGTGACTAAACAACAACAACAACAGCCACTGAGTCTGAGAAAGACACAGTCTGCAGGCAGTCATCTCCCCTTAGTATAAAAGACAGGTCGCAACCTGGCATGTACAGTAGACCTGGGCTGCAGCCAACTCTATTTCCAGAGTTCTAGGATAAGCTAAACCTCAGACCGTGCACTGAGGCTTAGCACCCAAAGCTTGCAGCATATTAGATGATTTTTAACTCCAGTTCGGATTTTTTTCTTTGTAGTATTGGACTAATGATGCCTGTGCGTATCTACAGGCAAGCCTCCTCTTCCCCGTACCTCTCTCTGGGGCTTCTGCTGTCTATGCTTGGAGTCTTGGTTTGCAAAGGGCTCTAAGCATATCTTTTTGTATCTCCATTCGAGAGAGAACCAAAGCACAGGAGATGCTGGGCTCAGAACACAGGAGAGGCTATGAACTAGGTTCAGCTAAGAAGACATTTTGAGTTTAGTACACTAAGCTCATCCAGGGTCCATACAAAACAACTAGGTTTCACCTAGGTCCTGGTTAAGCTACCTAATAACTCTAGTCTGCCATGGGAAGTATGAATGGAAATGGTTTAGAAAACCTGGGCTCACAGGATAGTCAGTAAAACAATTCTGCCTAGAGTTTGCCTCAGGGGCTCCCTCCCACTCTCTGAGTCCCTGAAAATGCTGGCTGAGCCTGGGACAGGAGAACCAGTGGTGAGAGAGCAGGGAGGGTGGAGGGGCTTCTGCCTCAGGCCAGCACCAACCCCCAAGTGTCTGGTCATACTGGTACCAGATCTGTCTGGGCTTCGAAATCACCTGCTTAGCCGACTGCCGCAGCCAGTCCTTGACACTTTCTTCCTTCAGGGAGCAGCCTATGAACACGAGGTAGCATTCCTGCTGCCCGCTGCTGCTTTGAGGTGAGGTTCTGGAGTCAGGGGGTGGTGTGGGTCCCTCCAAAACTGGCACGATACTCAAGGAGTTGGCCAGAGTGTTGTGGCAGACCTCCATCATCCTCTCAGAGTCTGCAAGGAGAACACTTTAGTCCCTGAGACCCTGCCCCTAGAGGTTAAGGTTACACTAAGACTGGTAGTGCAGCTGGGTTGGGAACAGATTCCCAAGACATGCAGGAGGGAGAACTGATATGACTGGCAGCAAATCAGAAAGGATGAAGTAAGAAAAGGAGGAACAATGTAAGTTTCTAGCTCAGCTGATTGGGTGATCAGGTGGACACCATAACCCAGAAGGGGATTACAAGAGGAAGAAAAAGTTTGCAGGCGGGAGGAGAAGAGAATGACTGCATCTGTGGCATTTGAAAGACTGTGGGACCCTGAATGGGAGCCACCTTCACAGTCATTATAAGAAGGGGATGGCTCAGGTCACTCCTGTGGAAGAGATCGTTGAGAAGCAAGGAAAGCCCCCCTGGCAGAGGTCAAGGGGGTGGGTTTCAGTCAAGGCCTGAGAAGCCAAGGGAAGAGGGCATGCTCAACAGTACAAGTGCCACAGGAGGGTCACATGGTGAAAGGAGAGGTGACTGGGTTTATAGGCCGAGGAGCTGGGGGCTAAGATCTACTGGAGACACAAGAAAAGGGTAATGGTCCCCAAAAAGGCATAATAAGAACTCTAATACAAAGAGAGGTTTACCTTGAACAAGAAAGAGGTCAACAGTTGGTCTAAATAAGGAAGAAAAGGAGACGATGATAGGGCAGAGGGAAGATGAAGGCATGAAGACCACTGAGGCAGACTGGGAGCTGCCTGTTGAAGCCTGAGCGAAGAGCGTTTGAGTAAGGGGCTTACAGAGAGGGGCCAAAGTTTCTGATTCAATAACATAAACTAAACCAAAGGTTAAGAACCAGGAGAGATTCTTTCATACAGACTCTGTCACCTAATTTTCCTATCTGAACTCAGATGATTCCATGCTTACAACTCTCAGGGGCTCCTGTTGTAGACATTCCAGGTTGCCTACCCAGCATCCTCTTCCTCCAATATGAATTTCCCATGGTCAACGTCTACTTGATCTTGGCCAATGACAGAAGTCTGCTGAGGAATTGATAGAGCCACCCACAGGAATAGCCAGCCTCTTCCGTCAGCTGGATGTTCTGTCTGGATGTGACACCTAGCCTGCAGCACTACCTGGCAACCATAAGGGGTGAAAACCCAAGGAAAAGCTGACACTAAGAATGGAAGCACACAAAAGTCATATATTACCTGGGTCTTCGGTGGTCTTGCTATACTGCCAGACCTCTTGATTTCTTGCTATGTAGCTAACACCTGCTAGTTGAGCAGGAGTTTTCTGTTGTAACTACCAAAGATGCTGTAACCAGACACACTCCCTTACATCCTCCCCTAGGCCCCAGCCACAGTAAACTTTTTTTGGTTCCTGAAATATGCCCTTTTTGCCTCAGATCCACAGATCTTTTCTCTGGAGCATTCTCACTGTTTCCAATGTGGAATTGACTAGCTCCTTGTTTTGACAACTTCCCTGAACCCCAGTCCAGGACTGACTGACTTCAGGTTGCAAGGGCTCCAGTGGTCAAAGGCTGTTAAACAGGTCTGCTGAAGGGGAGGGGAGGAGAAGCAAAGTAGAAGGCTTGAAGACTCTGGCAGAAACAGATCCAGAGCCAGAGAGCTCAGCATTGGGGTAGCTCCTGGTGACACGGCTATGAGGAAGCCATGGATGGCTCAAGAGGGGTGGGGTGTTAAAGTCTCCAGAACAAGAAAGTCAAGGAGCTGTGAGGAGAGGCCCTGAGCAGGTGCATGCAGGGGCAGGAAAACAGATTCTCCACTGCAGAGCAGAAGGGCCTGAAGAAAGACTGGGACCCTGAATGAAAGGGAAGACTGGAGGAGCCTGATGGTGTAAGACCCAGAGGGGAGGGTTTTTTTTTTTTTTTTTTTTTGAGAGAGTCTAAGAGGCATCTTGATTGATCATTGCCTTGTCATGGCGATTGGGCTTGTGTAACTCAGTGAACCTATGAGCCATGCCGTGCAGGGCCACCCAAGATGGACGGGTCATAGTGGAGAGTTCCAACAAAATGTGGTCCACTGGAGGAGAAAATGGCAAACCACTCCAATATTCCTGCTTCAAGAACCCCATGAACAATATGAAAAGGCAAAAAGGTATGACACTGGATGACGAGGTTCCCAGGTCAGAATGTGTCCAATATGCTACTACTGGGGAAGAGTGGAAGGCAATTACTAATATCTCCAGAAAGAATGAAGTGGCTGGGCCAAATGGAAACCATGCTCAGTTGTGGATATGTCTCGTGGTGAAAGTAAAGTCCAATGCTAATAAAGAACAGTATCATGTAGGAAACTGGAATGTCAGATCCATGAATCAAGGTAAATTGGACATGGTCAAGCAGGAGATGGCAAGAGTGAACATTGACATCTTAGGAATCAGTGAACTAAAATGAATGGGAATGGGTGAATTTAATTCAAATGACCTTATATCTATTATAGTCTGTGGGCAAGAATCCCTTAGAAAAAATAAATAGGGGATTCCCTGGTGGTAGAGTGGTTAAGACTCTGAGCTCCCAATGGAGAGAGCATGGGTTTGATCCCTGGCTGGGGAACTAAGATCCCATATGCTGTGTGTCCAATAAAAAAATAAAACAATTTAAAAAAAATTAAGAAAAAATAAATAGCCCTCATAGTCAACAAGAGTCTGAAATGCAGTACTTGGGTGCAATCTCAAAAACAACAGAATGATCTCGGTTCACTTCCAAGGAAAACCATTCAACATCACAAGTACAAGTCTATGTACAACATATGTACAAGTTATATACAACATCACATAAACAAGTCTATGCCCAAACCACTGAGAGCAAAGAAGCTGAAGTTGGCCGGTTAGATGACCTACAGCACATTGAAGAATTAACACCAAAAAAAGATGTCCTTTTCATCATAGGGGATTGGAACGCAAAAGTAGGAAGTCAAGAAATACCTGGAATAACAGGGAAGTTTGGCCTTGGAGTAAAAAGTGAAGCAGGGAAAAGGCTAATAGAGTTTTGTCAAGAGAACAGCTGGTCATAGCAACCCTTTTCCAATAACCTCAGAGATGACTCCACACATGGATATCACCCGACAGTCAACACTGAAATCAGACTGATATATTCTTTGCAGCCAAAGATGAAGAAGCTCTACAGAGTCAGCAAAACAAGACCTGGAGCTGACTGTGGCTCAGATCATCAGCTCCTTATTGCAAAATTCAGGCTAAATTGAACAAAGTAGGGAAAAACCACTAGGCAATTTAGCTATGACATAAATCAAATCCCTTATGACTATACAGTGGAAGTGACAAATAGATTCAAGGGATTAGAACTGACAGAGTGCCTGAAGAACTATGGACGCAGGTTTGTTACAATGTATATGAGGCAGTGACCAAAATTACTCCAAAGAAAAAGAAATGCAAGAAGGCAAAGTGGTTGTTTGAGGAGGCTTTACAAATAACTGAGGAAAGAAGAGAAGTGAAAGGCAAGAGAGAAAGGGAAAGATATACCCAACTGAATGCAGAGTTTCAGAGAATACCAGGGGAGATAAGAAGTCCTTCTTAAATGAACAATGCAAAGAAACAGAGGAAAACAATAGAATGGGAAAAATTAGAGATCTCTTCAAGAAAACTGGAGATATCAAGGGAACATTTCATGCAAGAATGGTCATGACAAAGGAAAGAAACAGTAAGGACCTGACAGAAGCAGAAGAGGTTAAGAAAAGGTGGCAAGAATACACAGAAGAACTATATAAAAAAAATGACCTGGATAACCATGATGGTGTGGTCACTCACCTAGAGTTGAATATCATGGAGTAAGAGGTCAAATGGGCTGTAGGAAGCATTACTACGAACAAAGCTAGAAAAGGAGACAGAATTCCAGCTGAGCTATTTAAAATTCTAAAAGATGATGCTTTTAAAGCACCATATTCAATATGTCAGCAAATCTGGAAAAGTGAGCTGTGGCCACAGGATTGGAAAAGGTCAGTTTTCATTCCAATCTCAAAAAAGGGCAATGCCAAAGAATGTTCAAGCCACCATACAACTGCTCTCATTTCACATGCTAGCAAGGTTATGCTCAAAATCTTTCAAGCTAAGCTTCAGCAGTATGTGAACCGAGCACATTCAGATATACAAGCTGGGTTTCGAAGAGACAGGAACCAGAGATCAAGTTGCCAACATTTGTTGGATCATGGAAAAGTAAGGGAGTTCTACTTCACTGACTATGGACTTCTGCTTCACTGACTATGCTAAAGCCTCTGTGTGGTTCACAACAAACTGGAAAATTCTTAACAGAGATGAAGTACCAGACCACCTTACCTGTATCCTGAGAAACCTGTATGTGGGTCAAGAAGCAACAGGTACCTCCAATTAAAATAAATAAATTTTTTTTAAAAAGCAGCAACAGGTAGAACCAGACATGAAACAACGGACTGGTTCACAATTGGGAAAGGAGTACATCAAGGCTGTATATTGTCACCCTGCTTATTTAACTTATATGCAGAGTAAATCATGCAAAATGCCAGGCTGGATGAATCATAAGCTGGAAAGATTTCTATATCAACAAGCTCAGATATGCAGATTATACCACTCTAATAGGAACTAAAGAGCCTCTTGATGAAGGTGAAAGAACAGAGTGAAAAAGCTGGCTTGAAACTCAACATTAAAAAAACTAAGACCATAGCATCCAGTCCCATCACTTTATGGCAAATAGAAGGGGAAAAAATGGAAGGAGTGATAGACTCTTTGAGAGTACCATAGGCCATAAGGAGATCAAACCAGTTAATCCTAAAGGAAATCAGCCCTGAATATTCACTGGAAGGACTGATGCTTAAGCAGAAACTCCAATACTTTGGCCACCTGATACAAAGAGCTGACTCACTGGAAAAGACCCTGATGCTGGGAAAGATTGAAGGCAAAGGAGAAGGTGTGGCAGAGGAAGAGATGGTCAGATAGTGTCATTAATTGAATGGACATGAATCTGAACAAACTCCAGGAGATAACGGAGGACAGAGGAGCATAGCAGGCTATAGTCCATGAAATTGAAAAGAGTCAGACACAATTTAGCAACTGAAAAACAACAACAACAAGAGGCATCAGTGGTCTGCTAAGCATCAGCAGAGGCTATGAAATCACATCACGAGATGTGATCACTCCACAGTGCAGAGGTCCCAAATCCAAACCCGCACTTACCTGAGAACTTCACTTTGCCCAGGATGTGGTAGATGTTTCCAGAGAATGGACTCGGCTTGATGGAGGACTGAATTGCTGGTGGAGGAACAGGACAGGGTTGTTACTTATCTGGGGGCAGAGGCCAAGGCCAGGGCAGCACAGCTGGGAGGGTTAGACACTAGAAAGGCGCCTCCTCTAGGGTTCACAGGTACTCACACCAGTTCTTCCCCCAGTGGCTCTGCCACTGTACCCAGGGGATGGGACACCTGGGTCCTCAAATTCCTCTGCCTCCTTTCAGACCCAAATGGTGAGAAGAGACAGCACAGTGGAAATCAAAATGGTGCCAGAAAGTGGGGACAACTCTGGGGCACTCTTTTACCGGTGCTGGGACATGTTCCAGTCAAGGCTTACCTTTACACTTGGCCACAAAACGAGTCTTCTCCAAGGGACGACCAAACCATACACAGATCTGAACCATCAATGGAAATACTGATCCAGCATCAAATTTACCTTCATACCTTAAAAGGTTTAAAAAATTATAAATGTAAGTAATTGGGGCTTTGAGTGTTATTACATACTAATTTGACAGAACTGTGTATTATCATATTTGAATTCTCCCATACCCATATTCCATTTTGTATACAAAACACCCATTTGAAAGCATTTATGTCTCTTTCATCTTGAGATTGGAAAGCATGTTTGCCCCTTCAGAGAAGGAAGAGCGGACTAGCAGTTTCTTCAAGTCAAAGACCTCTTCTATTTTTGAAGCTTCCAAGTATCCCAGCTGGGATTAGGGGTCCCTCCTCGTATCCTTTGGCCCTTACTCAGGATCCCCTCCCACTTTCTTCTGGGCTCCCACTATGCCAATTCCAGTTGAGCTATTTCAAATCCTAAAGGATGATGCTATGAAAGTGTTGCACTCAATATGCCAGCAAATATGAAAAATTCAGCAGTGGCCACAGGACTAGAAAAGGTCAGTTTAAAGAAGGGCAATGCCAAAGAATGCTCAAACTACCACACAATTGCACTCATTTCACATGCTAGCAAAGTAATGCTCAAAATTCTCCAAGCGAGGCTTCAACAGTACATGAACTGAGAACTTCCAGATATTCAAGCTGGAAGGCAGAGGAACCAGAAATCAAATAGCCAATATCCACTGGTTCATAGAAAAAGCAAGAGAACTCCAGAAACACATCTACTACTGCTTCATTGACTATGCTAAAGCTTTTGACTGTGTGGATCACAACAAACTGTGCAAATTCTTAGAGATGGGAATATCAGACAGACAACCTTACCTGCCTCCTGCAAAACCTGTACGCAGGTCAAAAAGCAACAGTTACAGCCAGACATTGGACAACAGACTAGTTCAAAATTGGGAAAGGAGTACATCAAGGCTGAACATTGCCACCCTGCTTATTTAACTTATATGCAGAGTACATCATGAGAGATACACACTGATTGAAGCACAAGCTGGAATCAAGATTGCCAGGAGAAATATCAATAACCTCAGATATGCAGACGACACCACCCTTATGGCAGAAAGCAAAGAGGGACGAAAGAGCCTCTTGATGAAGGTGAAAGAGTAGGGTGAAAAAGCTGGCTTAAAACTCAACATTCAAAAAACTAAGATCATGGCATTCAGTCTCATCACTTCATGGCAAATAGATGGGTTAACAATGGAAACAGTGAGAGACTTTATTTTCTTGGGCTCCAGAATCACTGCAGATGGTGACTGCAGCCACAAAATTAAAAGACGCTTGCTCCTTGGAAGAAAAGCTATGCTAAATCTAGACTGCGTATTAAAAAGCAGAGACATTGCTTTGCCAACAAAGGTCCATCTAGTCAAAGCTATGGTTTTTCCAGTAGTCATGTATGCATATGAGAGTTGGACCATAAAGAACGCTGAGCATTGAAGAACTGATGCTTTTGAGCTGTGGTGTTGCAGAAGACTCTTGAGAGACCCTTGGACAGAAAGGAGATCAAACCAGTCAATCCTAAAGGAAATAAATCCTGAATATTCATTATAAGGATTGATGCTGAAGCTGAAGTTCCAGTACTCTGGCCACCTGATGCGAAGAGCCGACTCACTGGAAAAGACCCTGATGCTGGGAAAGATTGAAGGCAGGACAGGAAGGGGATGACAGAGGATGAGATGGTTGGATGACATCACTGACTCAATGGACATGAGTTTGATCTAGCTCCAGGAGATGGTGAAGGACAGGGAAGCCTGGCGTGCTGCAGTCCATGGGGTCACAAAGAGTTGGACACGACTGAGTGACTGAACAATGACAATAACACTTATTCTTTAAAATCTAAACAAGCCTCCCAAATACTATGTTAACTCTTTGTCACATTTGATGCAAACACTTTCTTACATTCTATTGTATTTTCTGATTAGTCTTCTTTGTTTCAAAATTGCACTGCAGTTTTGAATTTTATACTGTTGAAAGTAGCTCACTTTTTGCTATTTCTTTAAAGCAAGGTGGTGGCATAACAATTTTTCAAGACTGTTCTCTGGAGACCATGGGCTTCTCGGGCTTCTATGTTCAGAGTTGCATCCTTAAGAGAATTTGGAGGGGCCAAGGGAAGAGTACAAGGTTTCCTTCTAGACTAGGAACAAGCTGCTCTACCAGGGGAGGTAGGTGTGGGGTCAATGACTACAGAGGGCTGTGAGAGGGGAATGGCTGAGACTCTGCACATCACAAAGCTGAGTACATCCTACAGCTAATGAAGCCTGTTCACTCTGAGGTCATGGCCTTCATCCAAGGAGAGAGGGGAGTTACGTACAGGGATGAGCAGGAGTCTGATGATGGTGATCTTGATAAAAAAGTAATTTATATGATTCCTTGGAGAAGGGCATGGCAGCCCACTCCAGTGTTCTTGCCGGAGAATTCCATGGACAGAGAAACCTGGTGGGTTACAGTCCACCACGGGTCGCAAAGACATGGACACGACTGAGCGACTAACACACATGCAAGTGTGCATGCTCCCTGAGGCACCAGGTAGAGATGGCAGAAGTCTCAGGACTAAGCCCAGAGGCCTAGTTTTGGCAGCACAAAGGTCAGTAGCTGCAGCCACTGTAGAGAAGAGTTTCACTCCAGAAGCTCCATCTTTTTTTTTTTTTTTAAGCTAAGATATTACTGCCTTGTTTAGGTACAAGGAATGATCCACTTACCCACTATTTAATTATGATGTGACTCAAACCAGAGGTTCCTTCTAAGAATAAGCATGAAAATTTTCAATTTTACATATCGACCTGTGTTTTAAAATAGAATAGTACTGGTTGTACTATTCTATTTTAAAAAATAGTACTCATGGCTGAGGGGTAAGGATAATAAAGAGGTGGCTGAGAGAAGTGAGTAAGGATAATAGAGATGATTCAGACCAACATGAGGGATCAATTTTGGCTTGCCTTGAACCTTCAGCACAGCAAACCTAGTTATCCTTTCCATACAGGGACAAGTGCAGCATGGCAGAGAAGAGCACAGTCTCTGTTGTACAGCAGAATTACCACAACTTTGTAAATCTACTATACTTAAAAAAAAAAAGAAAAATAGTACAGGCTCTGAAAGTCACACAACCTGAGTTTGGAACCCAACTCTTTGATTTACTAGCTGTGTGACTTTGGACAAGACATTTAACTCCTGTATGCCTCAGTTACCTTATCTCTAAAATGAAGAAACTAATGAAATCCACTTTGGGGCCTGGTTTGAGGATTAATGAGATAACACAGGCTGAACTCTTAAGAGTGGCACTATGAACAGAACTTTCTGTGATGAAGGAAATGTTCTGGATCTGTACTGTCCCACAGGAGCTGCTAGTTATAGTTAAGCAGGTGAATAGGGTCTTGTGTGACTAAAGGCTAAATTCTAAATTTTACCTCATTTTTATTAATATATATTATTAAGTAGCCAAATGTGGCCAGTGGCTGCTATACTGGAGAGCAAAGTCTTAGAACAATGTGTAGTACAGAGTAAGTGCTCAAGTGATGCTGGAAATATGACGAAGGTGCACTTCACACTCTCTTTTCTCCTCTACTCCCCTGAATCCGGAGGACAGGTTTAGGCTGGGAGGCCACCTGCAGAGAAGAGAACATCCTCTGGGCCACAACAGCAGGCAACCTATCTGTCAGATGGGAACCCCAGAGGACTGACTATTCTCAGGAGTGACTCTTTCACTCAGAAGGGTCGTAACTCCTTGTTTCCATGCCAGCTACCTCACTCTTACCAGAGGCTAGAGGCAACAAAGGACGTCACTGTGCTTAGTACTCACAAGATGACTCCTTAAGTCTCAACATTCAGCAAGGGTCTCAATTTGAGGCCGAGATGTGGATCACTGGGATTCTAATAAGGCCAGGAGCTACTGGGACTTCAGGCCACTGCAGCTGCCACTGTCACCCTCCCAGAGCACACCTGGTATTTTCACTTTTTCTTTTCTGTAAATAATCATTGAGTTTACAAAGAAATCTTAGCTATTTTTCAGTGATAATACTTGCCAGCCAGGGTACATTAAATATCGAGATCGTAGCATCTGAGGACTTGAAAAACTATTCTCTGAGAGAATCAGTTCAATGTCTCCATTCCTTTAAAAACATACAGAAAACCCAGGTTAGTCAGAACTATCAAACTTAACCTGCACATTTTCCTTCCCTTCCACACCCCTGTATACACACACAAGTACATACATATATACTTTTTTCTGTTATTTCACCCTTATATACTTTAACATGTATCTCTAGAAACAAGCACATTTTCACTAATTCTCACCTAAGGAATTTAATATGGAGGACCAGCAGCCTTGGTATCTCCTGGGAGCTTGCTAGAAATGCAGAATCTCTAGACTACTCCAGACCTACTAAATCAGAACCCTCATTTTAATAAGATCCCCAAGAGGTTCATATGCATGCTAAAGTTGTAAACTATTGATCTAACAATATACATCCATTTTCAAATTTCTCCCTTTAGGGGGGACAGGGCACTCAGGGTCCAATCAAGGATCGTTCATTGAATTCATAACTTTAATTTTCCTTCAATCTGGAAAAAATACCTCCAACTTTTTGTTTCTCAAGGAATTGACAATTTTGAAGAGTACATGGTCAGCTGTCTTGTGTCTCACAACCTGGATTTGTCTGGTTGCTCCTCGTGATTAGATTCATTTAAACACTCATGGCAAGAGTAATGGCCGAGTGATGTGTTCTTCCCACAGTGTCATATGAAGGAAGCACATGATTCACTTCGTTCCATTAGTGGTCTTGCTAAGTTTAATATTTTGGTCAATGTCATGTCTTCTAGATCAGACCTTTTCATTGTGAAGGTAGTTTTCCCTCTGTGGAAGCAGTAAATAGTCTATGGAGTGACAGATACTTTCAGTCAAGTGAATATCCTTTTCCTCAACAATCTGTCATCCACTATTTTTGGCATCCACTGATAATTCTTGCCTAAATCAAATTATATGAAAGGTTACAAAATGGTGTCTTTCCAGTTCTATAAACCCTTATTTATTAGGAGGCATTCTTCTATAGAGGAGAGCTTTACTGTGCTGTCCCCCTCCCTTTTTTATTTTTTTAATATCACCATAGACTCATTTTATTCCATGTGCTATAATCCATTAGTATCATGGTTCTCTCATACAACAACTCAAGTTGTCCCAAACTCAAGTGGGAGCTTCTTAAGCTAGCTTCCGTATCCTTTTGAAATATCTCCACTAGTTTTTGAATACTTCCCTGCCTTTCTGGCATAAAATGCACTAGGTTCACATTGTACTTTCACTGCCTAAATTGCGATCAACCAGTTCTCCGAGGAGACCAGATACCTTTTAGTGGGGATTGGTACTTAGAAATTAAGATCTAGAGGTAAAGGTATTAATTGCTACTGTGGTATTATTGCTGGTCCCTTTTCATGGAAAGAGGGAATATACATTTTTTTGAACTAATGAATTTATATTGAGTCCCCCTATTCAACTCTGACATCTGCAGGGTTTTTCCTTACTGTTCCCATTTCATATTTATAATCTCCCTTCCCTAATGTTCAGTGATGTTGTTTGGAATTCGGGTTCTAACAGAGGATTATGTTCAAAAGTTACTTGAATTAGTTTGTGTGTGTGTGGTTGTTATTACTTTGATATACAGATGGATTCACTTTTTGTATTTTTTCCTCCTTGTTGACCTAGTTTTTGAATATGTAGAATATCTGCAATGCTCAAAGGTCAAAACTATATAAAAAGTATACAACTCTTAGTATCCTTACATAAAAAGCCACTAATTTTCTATTTTTAGGTTGTAACTAGAACCCAACTCTATGAATTAAAGATATAATTTCCCTATGTTTTTATGTTATTTCTCTTGTATCTTAACATAAAGAACACTGAGAGAGTCTTGACTTGAATCCTTTAATGAATGAGAATGTGAATGCATCAAAAATAAAACATCTCAAAACAGTATAGGATACTGACGTGTGGGAATCCTCTTGGTGATTTCTACACAGCATCAAAAACACTTGTTCAAGACCTGGCTTCTGTAAATGCTCAGGTCTTAGATACAGTGGAAAGACCCAATGGGTCACAGACAGAATGCTGTATCTGAGAAAGTGGTTCGTCCTACAGAGTGAAGTGACTGTTAAGTTTACCTGGTGACAATCCCATTTTCTGCAAGAATGAAGGCTGCAGAAGGATTGGCAGCTCTGATGAGGCTCTGCAGCTGAACAAGGAGAGGGTGCCTCTGCTCCATAGTGTGACTGGTGAATACCACATTACTAACCAGGCCTGTGGAATAAAACCAAAAACAATTCAGCCTTCAGAGTTCTGACTGGGGCTGAGGGTTTGCACAAATGTGAGCCCTTGCTCCCTCCCCTGATCATCCCCTTTAGCAGCCCCTTCATGTAGACACTCTTGCCCCTCAATACTGATATAACAGCCATCATTCTGTTCTTTCTGCAGCCTCTGGAAGTGAATGGCCTCAGCTCTGTAGCTGCCTCTCTTCCTAACCTCCTCTGTCTTCTTAATTTCACTTTGATACCGGAGCTTTTTCATCAAATGGCCCTTTCCATATCCCATGAACTTCCTTAGGAACTGCTGCCAATGACTTTCACCAATTCAGAACACATTTACCAATACAAACCGTATGTCAGGTGCTAATCATTCTTAAAGAGTGCACAGTCAAGAAGGCTCATCCATGGACTTACAATTACAAGGTAAGTTCTAACAAAGATATTTACAGAGTGACACAGTAAGGATGGGTGGCCCATATAAAGAGATGCTGTGGAGTGGGCCACAATCACTCTCATACTTTTGTGAAAATACAGAAGTAAAATCTACAACACTCTGACACTACTGATAATTTGGAAATCAGAGAATTTAATCACATCCCAGCGTGCCAACACAATTATAATATCTCTTCCATATCTATTCTACATGGCTATGATCATCACATACACACCACTTCTACTATAATGTCACCTGCATTTGTATGATTCAACCATTTTTATTGACAACAATGTGAACATGTCAAACATACATAAAAGTAGAAAAAAATAATGTAATGAATGCCCACATGCCCATCACCTGGCTTCAAGAATTACCAACATTTGTCTAATTGTATTTCTTCTGTATCATACTCCCACCTTTTCGGCTTTCCTTGTCTTCCCCACAGGATGATTTTGAGGCTAATAACAGATGTCCTATCATTGCATCCAAAATATTTCAGTATGTATTACCATAAGATAAGGACTCTTTAAAAAAATGAATGGGGCTTCCCTGATGGTCCAGTGGCTGAGAGTCTGCCTGCCAATGCAAGAGACACAGGTTCGATCCCTGCTCCAAGAAGATCCCACATGCTGCAGGGCAGCAAAGGCCACACACCCCAACTACTGAGCCTGTGTTCCAGAGCTTGCAAGCTGCAATTACTGAGCCCACTTGCTGCAACTACTAAACCAGCACACCTAGAGCCAATACTTTACAACAAGAGAAGCCACTGCAATGAGAAGCCCATCCACCACAATGATGAGGAGCCCCTGCTCTATGCAACTAGAGAAAGCCGGTGTAAATCAATCAATCAATCATAAATAAATACAGCCATAAATAAATACACAAATCTTAAAAAAACAATGATTAAGCAATAAATCTTAATATAAAATATCTAGTCCATATTTAAATTTTTATGACTCAAGAATATTTTCTTAGAATTAATTGTTTCAAACCAGGAATCAAAGCCCCCACATTATATTTCATTGATATATCACATAATTCTCTTTCAATCTATAGTTTCTCCTTATTTCTCTGTGATTTATTTGTTGAAGAACTGCTTCTTGTATACTTCTTGTAGTCTAGATTTTGCTAATAGAATTTCCATAGTGTTCCTTAACAGGTTAGATACTGTTTTATACTTCAATCTTTTTTAAAAAAGTTCTTGTTCTTTTTCAAACTTAAGTTGAATGCTTAATTCGTTATTTTACAAAGCCATAATGAGATCTCACACCTGTTAGAATGGCTATGTTTTTCAAAAAGACAAGAAATAACAAGAGTTGGTGAGGATGTGGAGAAAAGGAAAACTTGTGCCCTCTTGTTGGAAATGTAAATGCTATAGTGGTACAGCTACTATGAAAAATAGGATGAAGATTCCTCAAAAAATTAAAAATAAAACCACCACATGATCCAACAATTCCACTTCTAGGCTTATACCAGAAAGAAATGAAATCACTACCTTGAAGAGCTATTTGCACATCCAAGTTCATTGCAGCATTATTCACAATAGCCAAGCTATAGAAACAACCAACAACCTAAGTGTCCATTAGTGGATGAAGAAGATAAAAGATCAAGGCTGTATATTGTTACCCTGCTTATTTAACTTATATGCAGAGTAAATCATGCAAAATGAGGGGCTGGATGAAGTGCAAGCTGCAATCAAGATTCCTGGAAGAAATATCAACAACCTCAAATATTCAGATGATACCACACTAATGGCAGAAAGCAAAGAGGAAGTAACTTACTTCTTGATGAATGTGAAAGAACAAAGTGAAAAAGCTGGCATAAAACTTCAACATACAAAAAACTAAGATATGATCTCCCTTAGAGGAGGGGTGGCCATGGAAGAGATAGATACCACCACCAACTCAATGAACATCAGTCTGAACAAACTCCAGGAGATAGTAAAGGACAGGGGTATCTAGTGTGCTGCAGCCCTTAGGGTAGCAAAGAGTCAGACAAGACCTAGCAACTGAACAACAATAACAAATTCAACTCTGCTGTTATTAACATCATCTCTTTTTGTTTGCATCCGTCTGTTATATCTTTGTCCATTCTTTTATCACCATCCTTAGCTTTAGATGATCTTGTGTAGAACATCATATAATTTAATTTGATTTTTTGGTTTAATCTGAGATAATTTTCCTTTTAAGAGGTGTTTAATCCATGTACAGAGAAGGAAATGGCAACCCAGTCCAATATTCTTGCTTGGAGAATTCCATGGACAGAGAGAGGAGCCTGGTGGGCCACAGTCCATGGGGTCGCAAAGAGTCAGACATGACTGAGCGCACAGCATATCCCACTTACATTTAATGGTACTTTGATCCTATCACCTTGTTTATGTTGAATTCTGTTTAAAAACATTTTTTTTAACCTTTATCAGTATGATCCTACATTTTTTTTTCTGCTTTCCTTCTGATAACTACAGTCTGTTTTAAGTTTTTAGGATAGCTATTCTGTCACCTTTAAACAATGTCTTTTGAGTTTTCCGCATGAGAGACAGGGAAGTTCATGTACCTTTTAATTCATCCCACTTCTCCACCATCACATTCTGGCTGGTTACATTAATAATTTTATAGTTTCTCCAAGTGGGTATTTTTATATCTTTAAAGAGTATAAATACTCTGTATAACTTGATTTAACAACTTTAAAATTTACTGACCTCCCACTTGAGAAAATGTACAGATAATCTCTTACTGCTTCCTAATATTTTATTAAATATGAGTTCATTTATAGGTTTTTGAGATTTTCAACATTTATATTCTATTTTGTAATAGCATTCTCATAGATGTTGTAATTAGTTCTGTATCTAAAAAGATTTAGTGCTCATCATTAATCTTTTCACTAACAGAGACTAGTTTTATAAATAATTAGTTCATAAGCGAATGACTCTAAGTTGTAAGACTTCAGCTTTCCTAAGTAACCTTATAACTGTAGGACTCAGAATAATGAGTATTCAGTACAGAGGACTCTTACCAATACTATTTACTTCAATAAAGTGTTTGGTTTTTTTAAAAATTAGCTATACTTAGTTTTTGAGGGCAAAAGTCATAATGTATGGAAGGGTTCACAAGAGAAAACAAATTCCCTTTCTCCCCGGCTACCTACTACCTTCCCCTGAAGACAACCATGTTTATCAGAGTCTTCTTCCAGGTATATGCTGAGTTTATACAAGCAAATGTGTATATATACATTTCCCCCATGATGTGGCATATTATACTATTTTGTACTTTGTTCACTAGCTTACTTCTTCTTTAAGATCTTTTCTAATACCCTACCACCCCAATCCTCCCCTCATGCCACCCTGCTGTCTCCATTTCTTTAAACCTAGGAGAGCTCCTTTGAATAGCATGGGCAATGCTTAAAATATGATTTATATTTTTATTTATCTTGTTATTTGTAAAAAGACAGCATAAAGATGAAATCATGAGCTTTAGGGTCAATAAAATCTGAGTTTGAATTCTGGGTTCTACTAATTATTCATAGGTAACAGGCAAATTGCTCAACTTTCTCTCTGAGCCCTAATTCCTCCTCTGTTAGATGGGAATATGTACCTCCAGGTTATCGGTGAAATGCTTATCATAGGCTACAGAAAGTAAGAACTCATTAAATGTAACCTGACACTACTACCACCACCATCATCTATACCAAGGAGACTGGTCTGATCCATTCCTCAGACTGACAGGGATGGCTGTAGCACGTGGACCTTAGTTAGCCACAGCAACACGCAGGAAGCTAAGTCACGTGACTCTCACCAGTCTAGGTTATTGAGCCCATGGTTTAGATGAGTGGCTATCACTAGTTTGAAAGCAGCTCCCAGGATCCCCTGGCTTCGGCCTCTGCCTCTGGTCTGGGGCAGAAGTCAGTGATACTTCCTCTCACCAATTATACTTAAAAAGTGTTCCCAAACTCTGAAGATTGACTCTAACCTCATAACCATATTCCATTCACAACCAGGGAGCAGGGGTTAGGAGATTGATGTCAATGGTCATGTGTTACGATGGGGACAAGGCACACACAAAGGGTATGTTGTCACTGTTCAGTTGCTAAGTCATATTCAACTCTTTGTGACTCCATGGACTGCAGCATGCCAGGCTTTCCTGTCCATCACCATCTCCCAGAGTTTGCTCAAACTGACGTCCATTGAGTTGATGATGCCATGCAACCATCTCATCCTCTGTTGTCCCCTTCTGCTCTTGCCTTCAATCTTTCCCAGCATCAATGAGTTGACTCTCCACATTAGGTGGCCAAAGTATTGGAGCTTAAGCTTCAGCATCAGTCCTTCCAATGAATATTCAGGATCAATTTCCTTTAGGATTGACTGGGTTGGATCTCTTTGCAGTCCAACGGACCGTCAAGATCTTTTCCAGCACCACAGTTAGAAAGCATCAATTACTTGGCATTCAGCCTTCTGTATAGTCCAACTCTCACATCCATACATATCTGCTGGAAAAACCATAGCTTTGACTATATAGACCTTTGTTGGCAAAGTGGTATCTCTACTTTTTAAAACGTGATCTGGG